CTAGGGGTAAGGGGATATTGCTGTGGAGACTTGTTATTCTCTACAAGGAGAAAGCATTTGTAAGTGGATTTAAGACAGAAAGGGAGAGGCACGATTTTCCCATTCCTCCCCAGTGGCCAAGTTCAGATAGATAAAGGATTCAATGCTATCAAGTGGTGAATGACATCACCCCTCTATGTCCCCAAGAAACCCAAGCAGGCTCAGCATTTTGCAAAATACACTGAGGGTCAGCTTTCAGTTCAAAAAAGAAAGACTTGAAAAGAATAAAAAGCAATTTAATCCAAACCACTGCACAAAAAGAGAGCCCTTCAGTGAAAGGATGAGAATATTGCTATTGACAAGGGTGGGGAGAAAACCTGCCAGTTTTCTTGATATGTAATTATCAAGAATAATCAAATTGCCATGGATAAAGCCAGAAGAGATCCAAGACTCCCTTTGGTCCCTGAATGAAGTCCTAACGTAACTTTTCCTCAGTTCAACAGAGCCCGGTTCCCTCCTGGAGGGAGGGTGTCCAGGCAGCTTCCCCAGCCTGAACCTCTGCAGGAAGAGGGTTTGGTTCTGGCCTGGAGCAGCATTAGGTATTTTCTCTAAAATTGGCTGACCCAAACAACCCAAAGGCAAATATCCCCTCAACTGAGGAGGGTTGCATCTAGTTTAAATCAGTTGAGTTTCTCCTGTGCCAGAAAACCTTTGTCTAAGCAGTTAGGACAGGTCTTAGAGCAGAGCCAAAGCACTGGCTTTTAATCTTGTGGTTTCGATCCTATTTCAGCATTTAAATTGATAATCCTCCATCTTAATTTAAAAATAAACCCTGCTGCTTCACTTAATCATGTCTTGGGCCAGATCTGCAGTGCCCTGGTGTCCTTCCCGGAGGGAAAGCCAGCAGCTCCAGCTCCTCAAGCTTATTCTCCAGGCAAACCCAGGGGCGGTACAACTAGTAAAACTGTCTCTTGGGCTACTCTTTGGCCACCAGCTCTGCTCTGATGAGCCCCAGCTGCAACACCAGCTTCTTAGGGGCCCTGACAGCCAGCCAAATTTGGGGCAGATTTGGCGTTGCATGAAGAACAGGTTGAACTGGCTTTCAACATGACAGTCAGGACACAAAGGTGGGTCAGAGCCAGATTCCCCTCATGCTGAGCTGAGTGCAGCAAACCCTTGGATCTTGATAAACTCAATATCTTTATTCTTTTTTCTTTCAGATTAATCTGTCCTGGTTTGCTTCATTCTTCTTTCATTTTTCAAAATCAGATTTCTGTCTATCTGCCTCTGTCTTTTTCTTCGTTGTTATTTTTCTTCCAATAAAGGACTTATCAGTGTTCCTTTCATTGATTATGGAATTCCTGACATTGCTTTACTGGCTCATATTTTACCATAAACTATAACTTCTTTCTTTTTCTATTCATTCTGTATTTTTCCCTCAAATGCAATCCCTTCTGAGAACAACACATTCCCCTGAAATCCTTTAAATGATGTAACAAATCATTCTTTGGAGATAGTTTGACCCAGGTGCGATGTCTTATTTGTTGCCATTAAATAGTCATTTGGTTTTGACATGATAAATCATCAGTTTGTGTTAAATTGACTTGGTTTTAAGTTGGGATTCAGCTTCCCTAACAAAGGCAGGGACAAACTGTCTTTCTTCCATTCTACCATTTTTTTCTTATACTGTCTAAGATTATATGATATATGCTTTTTCTGCCTTTGCCATTCCAAAGCACTAAGGTCTTGGCCATGTGTCCTTACTCTGTATGCTTGATTTTATTGGGTAACATTGAGAGGAACATAACTTTGGATGAGATTGTTGTGAAAAAACAAAAACAACCTTCCTCAACACCCCACAAAAAGAAAACCCTTATGGTTTTATTGTTCTATTGAGGATTTATTGTCAAATTCCATTTCAGCAATTCCAGACATTATGATTAAAATGTGGATGTGGGCTCAGAAAAATGTCCCATTGTTATTTTGAGTCAATTGCTAACTCAAAATGTTCTCTGATAAGGATACCAAGAGGACTCCATGAAAGAATGATGCTGGGATGTCTGTTACAGCATTGTGGTTCTGAGAGGGACATTCCTGCACAGCAGATGAATCTCATCCTACCAGTCCAGAGAGTAACCAGGGCTCATTTCCTAGCAGGCTGGATTATGACTGAGCAAAAAGGTCAATGAATCAATGAATAATCAATGCACTCTCATGGAATTTTATACTAATGTTCTTGACTGACAAATTGCCTTTATTGATTTTAACAAGTTCAGTATTATAGGGTGGGATTAATTCACTGCAACTTTACCTATCTGCAATGCAAATGACGCATCTAACCTCTTTGGACATCTATTTTAGAATGAGATGGCTGAAATCCTAGATGTGCTTATTTCTCTTCATTGTCTATAAGGGGAGTCCAAACAGGTAGCTCAGATATGGCAGGGGTGGTGGATGAAATGATCTTTAAAGGCCCTTTCCTACTCAAACCATTCTGTAACTCTATGATACGAATTTCTACTCTGTAGAGTTTTGCATGTGCCCAGATGAATCCCATCCAGACAGATTTCTGATTGTTTTATGCTTGGTATTTTGTTGTTTCCATTGAAAACTGGAGGAGAAAACTTCAGGAGGCTACAGAACATTGCAAGTAAATAAGTTTTGCAATATCAAAAGCAATGGTCTTGTTTTAGAGGCAAATCCACTTCAGCAGCAATTTGGTAATATTCTGAATGACTTAATTGATTCAATCCCATTTAAACAGTCATGGTAGCATATAACCATACTACTTCAGTTTTATTCCTTAGAGCTTTAGGAAATAAAGACAAATTGCCTAAATAAACAGAGGAACTATTCGCCTCAGCTCCAGATGAAACGCTTGTGTCAAAGATCCTCACTGAAGACATTTTGCTGTTGACTTTAATGCCACTACATTTTTAACAAAAAGTCAAACTCATCATACATAATTAATTAGATGCAAGAGGAGGATATTTTGAGGGGGATATCCAAAACCAGGCCGTAAACAAAATTTAGGAGTACTAACACCTTGCTTTTATACATCTGTCTCCCTCAGAATAGCATACAGGACCAAACTGGTATCCAAGCCAGTATACGTTGTGCCAATCTCATGTCAATGCTAATTACAAATCCACAGCAGCAATACTCAAGTTTACAGCTGCCTGAAGCTAACTACTTCTGTCAAGAAGGATGAGCTGTAGTTTCCTCTTCATGACCATCCATTAGGCATCCACAGCTCTAAGCCCCCTTTCTTATGGGAGACCCTCTGGTCCTTTGTTCAAAGAGAACTTTCCTCCTCATGGGAAGGAGGAGGAGAAAGAGGAAGATGCAATTCTCTCTGCATTTTACCCTTCTACTCCCATTTTTTTTTCTGTAGCAATAATCCAAGAGCCCAGCTGCCATCCCATGATCTGGGTGATTCAGGCTCAGCTCCCACGATTTCAAATCATGGGTAAGCTATGCACAGAAAACAACAGCCAGGGGAGGAGGAGGAACCAGAAGCCAGCATTTCTCCTTCCAGTGAGTACAGCTGGCTTATGGAGTCATGCTTTTTCTCTGGTCCAACAAAGTTTAAATTCTTCTGGCACAGTTACTGAGGTTCAACAGAGGGAAGGGCAAGTGCCAGAACTGTCTGGTAGCTAGATGACTTTCCTGGGAGACACATGAATTTCTAAAAGCAGCTCTCACTGCTTGGCCTAATGGTTTGAGTGCTAGGGAGAGGGTGGGGGACAGGACAGAAACTTCTTTTGTGGATGTGTTTTAAAAGAAAGTGTTTGTACAGATAAATTTTAGCTGAACCCAGTCTTGTCAGTATAAGGCATGGGCAAAGATCTCTGCTCGAGGAAAGCTCCTAATGTATTTATAAGCAACAGTTGCATGGGTCTGTCAAGATGGGAGCAGTCTAACTGTGCTTTGAGATAGTCATGGGCACTTGAGAGGTCTTAAAGTAGAGGAGCATGGTAAAAGGCTTTCTCTTAAAAGCAGCTGTCTGAAGGTGTTTAAAATTGCCCCTAAAGATGAAGATGGGGCACAGCGGGACTTGTGAAAACAAGCTAGCCTCCAATACACAACAGTGAGGCCATCAGCATGCTGTGGAAAACCTCAGCAGGTCCCTACTGGGCATCGTTAGACATCTTCATGCCTTTAAAAAGTCTGCTCCCTGATGCCACCTACTTTCCATTAGGGAGATGCCTGGGCCAGCAGCTCCCTGGGGGCCGGAGCCATGCAAGGTCTCTGCGGCAGCAGGGCAGGGGCTGGCGGGCAGGGTCCACCCCATCGCCCCATCCAGGAGCAGGGCAGCTGGGGGCACTGGGGCAGCCCCAGCCCCAGGCATCAAGAACCTTCCTGGGGATGGGGATCTGCTGAGGCCAGGCCAGGACATGGGTCCATGGGTAGGCTCAGCTTAGGGGGACCCTGTTGTCCACTCGCTGATGGGGAGCCCGCTGCTCATCTTAGACACCCTGGGTGAAGTCTCACCCGCATGACTTCTGTGTACGTCTTGCCTCCACATGGGCTCGGATTTCACCCTTGATGCATACTTGCTCAACATGTGCCACTAAATCCAACTCTCATATGCAATCTAAGCATCATTTGGGCCTGCAAGTGACCATCTCAGCTGCCAGGATATCGGCTTAAATGTCCCTGAAGGGAAACGCGGCTTTCCTATTTGGATGAAAGTTAGTCCCTGTGCTTCTCACAAGTAACAAAACTCTGACCATATATACCATATCGAGTGTCACCCTGACCTGTGACACTCGTAATGAAAACACCCTGCCCCACAAGCAAAACTGCCTGGGGGCATGTGATTCCCCAGGCCAGTCAGCCACTGCGAGATCGTTTGCAGCTGTTTACAATGATTCTGCTACGGGTGGCATAACACCCGTGTGGACACACATTATGGTGAACTCGGAATCTCAACAGGATTTAAATGACGCCTTCAGACAAAATAAACCCTTCAGAAACATAAACAAAGATGTTTATTTCCAATAAAAATTCACATTCACATCATTAAATCTTACAAAGTATAAGGAGGTCATTTTTCAAATTGTGAAGCATCCGTGTGCACAAGGGCTGCTGTTTTCATCAGAACAGCTGCCTGGGACATGCATATATTTATCTGAATGTGCCAAGCCAAATATCCTTCTATCTACAAAGGTTTTGATTTGGCTGGTGACATCGTTCTGACACTTCCACAGTTTCATTTTCTCTGGATCTGGCAGTAGAGGCTCATAGAAAACCCCAAACCAAGAATCTGGAAAACAAAGACATTTCTGGTATTACTTGGCAGTCCTGGAAATCCCAGAATACAACCGATACACAGTGGGAACATTTTGTTTGCAAATGTCTTGAATTTACATGCAGGCTAAATCTGCTATGCAGAAGATCTTTTTCAATCTAATTCTTAAAGAACATGATTCTAGAATACAGCCATTTTAATGAAATCAGTATGTACCACAGGTAAGACAGCAGACATGATAGAAAACTTTCATTTGTTTAGAAGATGGATTGCCTCTGTGAGTGGGGAACCCTAGAACTCTGGGGGTTTAAAATGCAGTTGTTAAATGCAAATGCCACAATGGAGCAGCAAATACTGAGAAGTTCATAAATTCGGTCAAAAATGCAGTCTTATTTTCTAAATTGGAGGAACTTTATGATTTCATTACCTATTATAAGGGTTGTTTCCCTTTGAAATCTCTCTTCTTTTCCACTCCCACTCTCTTTTATGTAAATATATGTGTAAAGGCACACATGTGTGTACGTATACAGGCATACATCTGTACACATACCCCACCATTTTTAATGGCATGTGATCATGCAACAAGTATTTTACATTCATCAGTAATAGATTTGGGATAGAAACACTGAGTATACTGAAGAAGCTATTGATTAAAACAAAAAATTCAGGAGGGTCACCTTCTGTAGTGGGAATTACTGGGTGAAATTACACAACCTGTGACAGACAGCTGGTGAGATCAGAACATCAGAAAGCTTCCTTCTGAATTTAAAATTAACCAGTCTGTGAAGGTGTTTGACAGAAGTGGGAAGTTTCCAATTGACACTTATGAAGCCATGAACATCAGTATGCTTCATTTATTTAAGGAAGAGACAGGGGAGAGTACACAGAATGCAGGGGTACAGCTAAGACAAGGAGATGGACTCACAGCTGGAATTAGCTGACAGGACTTCCCTGGCATACCATGGCCCCATTGTCACTTGCACCCAAGTGAAACTGGGCCCTTCTTCTCAGTATCATTTCCACTAATAGGATAAGCTGTAACCACTAACAGCTCCCAAGTAGCATAATTGAAGCAGCAGAGGGGAAAATGCTAGTGAAGAGCACTTTTCCTTGTCCTCTTTTTATCCAGCATTTTCCAGAGCAGATAGATGGTTAAGCATGTGGCCTTTGATTTGCAATTACTTGAAGAGTCATAATATGCTAGTATTTTGGGAAAGGCTAAATGTTTGTCAAGTGTAGATTGTCAGATGACAATTTGTACCATCTGAGGCTCATATTGTTTATTCATGTTGTTTTCTAATCCTTTTTTGATTGAGAGACGCGGCCACCACAAATGCCAACTGAAGAACAGGGAAGAATTATGGCCAGTGAACTAAAGGCTACAACTCATGTAATTGCAGTAACTAGAGCAAAGTGACTTATAACTTACATTTGGGGTACAGATGCAATTTTACACTTCTATTATATTTTAAAGGCCTTTAAATATTGGTGTATTTCATCTATTTTCCTCCCAAAGTCTACATATAGGCAAGAGACATGACCCCCCCACATATAGCACCTTAAGTAACATGAAGCTTATGACGAGTAAGAAGTTAGTGGCCTGTCCTCCCAGTGCTGCAGCTGTGTAACTCTTCCCAGTGCTGCTTACTATTATTTTCCTGGAAATGTATTTTTGAGTTGAGGCTCTTGCCCACTCTTCTACCACGAGGAGTAATCCTCTGCCAATGATGTTAAGAAGTTTTCACTTGGAATAACAGACTGAACTCTGCACAGCAATCTTCGTCATTTCTGCTTTTCCCTCAAACATCCATTGGCAGGGGGTGGGGGAGGAGGGAAACCACAGAGGAATAGTAGAAAGAAAATGACCAGAGAAAGAAACATGATGAAACCCCCTGTTTCTTTGTAATTTTCTCCCAATCAAAGCCTATCATTCATCAAGTAGCTGACTGGATAACCTCACCATTTTTTGTCTGTTTGGATAAAATTTTGCATGTTATTCTTCAGTGTATGATGAATCAATTAAAATAAAAAGCTCACGTGTTCTGCTTTTTTTACACATAGGAATATATGGAGCAGCACAGGTGTGCACTCAGGCACATTCACACACCATCTTGATGGCTAAGTTATGCCTCAGAATAATAGTTTTGTACCATAATTTCTTTGTGATAGAAATATGCAGTTTAGGGGCTAAGTTTTCTTATGAGATGACTTCTTTCTCCAGAAAAGAAGAGAAAGAGGAGGAAAAGACAGGCTGTTCTGCCTCGTGTCTTCCTGGGGCTGGGTATCCACACACCCCTCTGTCCACAGGGATTGCTGTCAAAGCACAGCCTGGTTCCAGGACTGTCAGATCTTTGCAGAAAAGGTCCCATGTGATACACTTATACAGGCAGCAGGGTGGTCTGATCCCACCTGAAATTTGCAGCTCGGCAGCGATATACTGTTTATATGAAATAACAGTTAAGATTATAGCTAAGGTGAGAGGTGGTTTTCCCTTGTCTATTAATTGACCAAGCCAGGTGTTTTAATCCCATTCCCAGTGTATTTCTATGTAGAACATATTGCTTGTCAGCTACTAAATATTTTAATGGTGTATAGTGGTACCTCAATAATAGCCAGTCCAAAGGCGATCCCCATAATTATGAGCAGATGGTCTTTAAGATATTCGATAATCACAACTCCACAAGGCTGAAAAATAAGAAAAAATTATTAATTTTAGGTAAGCAATATTATCCTAAGGGTATTAGGAATGCATCCTCTAAAATAACTCCTCTCACACTCTTTCTCTCTGTGTTAGAGAAAGGCTATTTGAATTTATTCTGGTTTGTTTCTAACAAACACAAGGAACACAGTTATATGTACCTTGTGCTCTGAGAAAGATATCTGGTCTTTGCCTTTCCAACTATGGAAATGAATTTAGTAGCTGATCATAAAAGGCTACCATTTCAAACAAAGACATACAGCTGTAATGCCTGATGTTTGCATGATTTTCAGCTGACAAGGAAAGAAACATTTATTTTTATTTTCACTTGATAATCATTTGCTGCTAAGAAAGACCCAATGCAACCATGACCAGAGTTGAAAGAGAACTTCAGTTTCCCACTAATCTGATTTTTGGATTTGAAACTTCAAAGATTATTATTGGAATCACACTTAACTTTCTGGATATAAAACCTAGCTTAAAAATTATTTTTGACAAAAGTTTGGTGGTCTTGGGCTGGATCTGGAAGGAAGAGAGTGATCATATCTGAAGTTCTATGCAGAACTACTCTCCTTTTCAATAAATGCATACATCTGTTCTCATAATGACTACATCTTCTCCAGGCATTGACAATAGTCCTTTTGCAAACTGTGGGGAAAGCCAAATCCATCTTAAATCCATTAAAACTATGGTACTGTTCCAACACTACAACTGCTTTCCTCCCCAAAAAAGTTATAGTCTTTCACCATATTTCCTCCCTCACAATAAACACATGGGTCTCCTCCATCTAGTCCTTCTAAAAACCCTCTCATTTCAGCTGACTCAGAACTGCACTGAATTTCAGATCTCTTTTCCTGGATCACAGGAGTTGAATGTCTTTACTAGCATCTAACACCACCATGAAATCTGTGTGTACATGTGAGCGATATCTTGCACCTGCAGTAATTTCACTGATGGTTTCTCATGTGTCCTTTGAGGGTTTGCCTGAGGCCAAAAAGACATTAAAATGTGGCCAAAACAGCCTCTTCGTATACATCTTATTTCCAGACCGGGTTCTGGCATCTATTTAACCAGACTGTTCCCTTGCTTTAAAACAGTATTTGCTTCTGTGGGACTACACAGGGAGGAAATTTGTGTTCAGGCAGGAGCTGTGCATTTAGAAAAGTACATAACCAGGGCGGACATTTGATAAAATGTCAACTTTGTGCTAGGTGCATGTTGTCAAACCTTGTACCACCAGCATTTAAAAAATGCAGCTATTTTGTGCTAGTTTTCCACTTCTTTTTCATATTTTTCTTTGTGTTCATGGAGTCCAAATTTCTATATAAGGAGTCAGATAAATCTTGAAATTAATTAATTGAGATCTCTGCTGCCCACCTACCAGTTTTTGAGTATGCTTTCTCGTTGCCTGTCACCAAACATTTTTGCCTTTTTGTTATATTAACTGCCACAAACTTTTTAAAAGGCCGTAGTTGTAGGAAATTACACTTTGATTATGCTGCCATGAAGCCTACAACATGTAAAGTTTCTTTCCAGCAGATCCTGCAAAATGAGTGTGGGATTTTTTATTAAAGGACTACGAAAACCCAAAGGTACTGCATTTAATGTGTTTGTTTTTCAATATCCCTTAGCCCTTTGAAAGCCTCTGAGTCAACATGTCTACCACCAGAATGAGCCTGGGTAGGAACATAACCTCCTGAGGGAGGAATGAAAGCCAAAGTGTAGCTGACGTGCTGCTCTGACTCAGAGGCATACCCTGACTCCAAAGCCATAATAGTTTTCACCCATAGTAACCATGCTGACTGCTGAGGTTCTAAGGGTACTGCACTGCACAGTTAAAGTACAGGCATCCCAGGAAGAGGAAGCAGCAATCTATTTCATGTATTCACAGTAATTCCATAACAGACGTCACAGGGGCAATTCTGGCTAAAGAAGAGAAGGCAAAACTTTGCCTTTTTGGAAGGATCCAGAACTGCTGACTGTGCCAGTCACCAAAGACACCTTGGGTTAAAACCTATTCTTGGAAAGAAGAGTAGAACATTAAATCTTTCTTACCGTTTTATAAACGAGTCTGCCTTGGAAGAAGGTGCAGAGGTCTGCTGATGGGTTCTTTACTTCACACTCACAGATTTTATTGTTATCAAGAGGAGTATTAAAATTTTTTCCCCAGTCTGCAGGGCCATTCAGCAAACCGCAGCACTGGTTCTGCAAGAAAGGAGGAAATGGAGAGATGAGGAAAAAAAGTGGTGATTTGCAGTTTGAGTAGAGTAGGTGAGGGAGATGAGAGGAACAATGAAAGAGAAATTTCCTTTCATCTTTTCCCACATGGAAGTTGTACCAAATTGGTATGTCTCAAACACCATTTACTATTCTATACCCGTTATAATAATGCAAGAGCACGAGTCTAAAAAAAAAATTAAAAAAAATAAAAAAGGGAAAAAAACAGATTTTCAGTATACAGTGGTCAAAAAGAACTATTCACATACAATAAAGCTAGTAATTGTCAGTGCCAGAATGAAACTGGAACATGGAACAACTCTGGGTATAGTATTTTTGAGAATCAAGTCTTCCTTCTGAAGATTATACTTGGAGAAGGTAATTAACAGCTCCTGTAATATCCACATTTCACATCTTGAAAAGTCAGGTTGAAAATATAAAATTCAGGCACGTAAAACTCTGAAATCTAGAAAAATAACCACCTTGAATGATGGTTAGCCCTTTAAATTAGAAATGGACTGAGGAGGCCAGAGCTCCATTTGGGGTTTGTGAAACCTAAACCAGGTGCAGTTTCACTTCATGTTCCACTTTATTCGAGCCACTAAAGCTCAGGGGTCCAGACTTGGGTTTGAGGTCCTCTCTCTTTTAAAAAACAGCTGGAAATGTTCACATAATTTTATATAAAAGCAAAGGCCGTGGGACATAATAAAGCAATACTGGTCTATTTAAAAATTAATACAGTAATTATGGGATTTTTCATTTTGCTCTCCCTTCAATCATCTCTCCAGGGAGCTGCTTATTATATCAGAAGAAATAACCTGGCTCAGAAGCAGAGGACAAGGCTGGAGGTGGCATGGGGAAGGAGAAGTGGAAGTAATATAAGCCACCCAAATATTGTTTCTTGCTTCCTTTTTTTTTCATACAAGCAGCCTTTAAAAATATATGAATTCTTTAAGCCTACCCATCAAAGTCATCACTCATTAGCGACAACTCCCCCCCTGCCCAAAACCAGCAGGCACCCTGTCAATGAATAGACACAGGTACAAGTGGGAGGGGGAGGGGTCTATACCATCAATGATATCAGTAAGATTCAAGGGTATTCTCTATGTGATACCCAGAAGGAACCTGGCAGTAAGCGTCCACCTTCTGGGGTCCTGCAGGTTGGGGAAGCCAGGGTAGGTATAAGCACACTGAAAACAAACCTCCCTTTTATCATATTTTGTTCTCCCTTCTTACACAGTAAAGTATGGCATTGAATGACTTCATAGCAATAGGCTATTCCAAATGAAGTACACTCCTGAAGTTTTCCTTATTCCCGGGGTAATCTTGCCTTCAAAGTTCTCAGCTGGGATACAGTGAAGGAGCAGTGTCCCTTCAGAAGGGAAAGTTTTAGCAAAGGAGCAGGAAGCCTTCTCATGAAAGAGCTTAGATAACTGTCAGTCTCACTTAAGTGTTTTGTGTCCTTGTTCCATTGCTCTTATAAACACTATTGCACAAAGAAATCACCCCAGGAATCCCATGTCATATCAAGAGAGCAGAAGATCCTTGTGCAGTGCTTTAACTTGCATTTAAGTCAGAACTTTCCCCATCCTCAGGGAATGAAATTCAAATCTATGGCAGAGTAGACATAAAATGAAGCACAGACAAATGCTAGAGATGGAAAAGATAGCAACAGCTCCTGCCCTTTTTACATTTTAATTACCATTCTCTCAAACTTCTGGAACTTCTCTTGAAACACTTTAGATTCTTCTGTAGAGCTTTGCAGTGATTTCACACTCTCCAGGAGAGTCTTGTTAAGGGATGTTTCAATCTGCAAGTACAAATATTTTATTAGTTTTGGGACTAGAAACAAAACTCTGGGAAGATATCAATGAAAATGCAGAATAATACTGTACCTGAGATCTGTACACTGCTCCTAAAATACCTCCTGTGACCTGAAGGATCAGGATCAGAAGCAGTCCAATAAAAAACTAGGAAGAAAATAAAAGAGGAAGAAAAACTATAGTACTTTTGACCAAGATGGTATAATTTCTTCTAAGTGAATGTTAAGACTTCATGTGCTTGACTAATCATGCAGGTAGAATGAACTGAAGTTCCAGTCAGAGCTAATCCATTTATTCCTTCTTTGGCAATGAGAAAAGGGGGTGCTCGAGACAGGGGGTGCTCATCTGGTGATCAAAACAAGGTGCACACCAGAGTAGCAGCATGGTGGGCAGTGCGTAGGTGAGCAGTGTTGGACAGGAGGACAAGGAGGACATTCTAGGAGGGCCAACAAAGGTAACAAATGGGAATTTATGAAATAAAATGGGGTAGGTAGTGGGAGGGGACTGGTGGATGGAAAAAAAGCTAGTGACATGCTCAGGGCTCTCTGGACCCTGTCTTCTTGTTGATGAGACCACCCATCATTTTTTTGGCACTAGAATTCAGAAGGGGCTTGAGTACAAGGTAACCAGTGAAAACACATAATCAAGCATTTGGTTAAACAAAAAGGCTCCCATCCTCATTTGATACTACTTGCAAGAACCTTATCCATCAAATCTATCTGTGGCCTGTTAAAAGTAGACAAATATTTTTCTTTCTTACCAAAAGCAGCATGCACCGGCTCTCCTTTATGGCACCACAGCATCCCAGAAACCCAAGGACCATAATAATGGAGCCCACAGCTATCAGCAGATCAACCCCTGCAAACAGGCTGCTGTCTATCTCTAGCTCCTGAAAAGAGAGGGAAAAAAAATCTTTCAGCTACAAGAAACTCCTCTTAAAACCATCTGTATCCCCCCAAACAAGAGAATTACTTTATAATGACAAATATATTGATTAGCAACCATGGAGAAATTTTATGCATAAACAATCCTCTAATGCCCCCTTCTTAAACATTTTGTTGGGAAGCTCAGTAGAATCTGGCTTTTCACAGTCTTTGACTCTGCACAAGACAAAAGTCAACTTTGCAGAGTAAATAAAGATCTCTTGTCTTTAAAGTGGCTTTCAGTTAGTTTTCAGTTGATGAACCTTTGATTTTTACTGGAAGTAGCAAAATTGATTATCTCAAAATCTCTCCTACATTAACCAAATGTTAAAAAACCAAAACCTCTGTTTGTGATTAGAAGGCCAGGAACATACTCTGTGGCTGAACACTTCGCAGAGTGATGCTGGATATACTAGAGAAATAGATGTATTTTCCAAAGCAGCTTTCATTTTCTTTTTTCTAGGCATGATCTCTAATATTATACTCAGAGATGAGGACTGTATTTTGATGTGTGGGACATTCAACTAAACAATTCATATACCTCAATATTATTAAATATAAAATTATTCAGTTCCCACAGGACTGACAAAGGCCAAAGGCCAAAATAGAGAAAAATGTTCAAAGAATATTTTCCAGTGTGGCTGGTGCCAAGATTAGCAAAAATGTCTGGAAGTTGTCACATTTATCTTCTGATGGAAATTGCAAAGGTATATAGACAAGGATAATTTGAAGAATGTGTTGTTCTTTCCCCTTCCAAGTTGGACTGAACCTCCTGTTATTTATTCTTAGAAAGCTTTATTCATGTACAGCCAAATCCTTATGGTCTGTTCAATTATTACTCAGGCAAAACATACATTCATTTTGAATGGGAACTTTGCCTGCTTAGAGGCAAAAATGTGAGAAAATGCCTTCAATTTTAGTCCCTACTCTTAATTCACAGTTTTCGGGGAATACTAAGTGTCAGTTCAGGAAACCGGTTTGGGACACACTTAAGTATGCTTTTCTGCATAGTAAATCTCAAAAAATAAGAAAGAGTGATAGTGGTTATGGGTTTCCTAGTTCCATTGTACCATCTGAGCCATCATACTAGAGATGCTCAACTGGCAAGTATGACAATTTTAGAATCTTGTAAAATGTTGACCAAGGAGCAAAAGTTGTCATTCTTCCTCTTCCACAGCAGAGAATGGCAGAGCTCTCCACCATGACATAATTTACTGCTTGGCACAATGCCATCATGAACTGAGTTCTGTTGCACCCATCCTCTGCCAGACATAAAACATTTAGGACTGGATGAGGACAACAGTATCATCAGCCAAATGACAGGAAAGATATAAAGCTATCTTCTTATTTCCACAATCTTTTTATTTACAGATGCAAAAATTCTGACTTAAAAATTATTGTTCCTAAGTGATGGATGGTGGTAGAGCAGCAGAGGAATGATCTGAAGATTTGCAACTTAGTCTATACTAGAGGCTCAACCTGAAAGCTGAAAAACATGCTTCCACGTCACACCTGGCCATTTTTTCACTTCTATGGCCAGAAAGCCTCTTTGGAAAAAGAAGTATGTGAAGTAAATTTTCAAATTAGTTTACATTTCTATGGCCTAAATTCACAAGAAGAAATATACTGCTTAAACCTTAGAGTCAGATTGTTCTTCCTGTTAGTATAACAAAGCACCAACACACAAAGATTGCACAATGCCTTTCAGAGAATCATCTACAAGCAGTGAAATCAGCTTTACTCGAGGGTGAATGAATGAAAACACGGTGTGAGTCAGAGGCCCGTGACACTGGGAACACGCTTGGCAAAATGTTGGCAGGGTCCACGGGGGCAAAGGGCCTTTGCACCAGCAGGACCAGCCTCTGCTGCACATCTGCAAGATCAAGGGCTCCTCAAAATTGTATTTTCTCTAGCTTTTCAGAAAAGGAAAGTCATAAAGTCTGAAGTAATTTAACAACCCAGATAAAATCCAGGAGAGGAACTCAGAGACTTTCTTCTTCCCTCCAGGAGAGCTGTTAAGACATTTTAATCTTAAGTAAAGATTTTTGGGTCTCTAAAACTCTTTCTATACAAATATGAGGGGGAAAGGATAAGGTTATTTTTAAGGAGCCACTGAAAATAGAAGGGGAAAATCCTTGCTCCCTTTCAAAGTCACAGTTACTGGGGAAATAAGAACTGTGTTATTGAAGATAGTGAGAAAGGTAAACACACTTCCTACAAACATATGGAAGTAACTCCAGGAATATATATGACTATACTATTCTAAGAGGGAAAGACATTGAAAAGTCTAGGAGCTGCATGGCTCCTCATTATTCTCTCTAACACCGAAATCAAGAACAAAATAATCATTAGTTTTCATTAGCAGACAGAGACACATGTTTTCCAACAGAAATCAGTGTGCGCATGTGAGAACTTACATTAATAACACTAGAAGATACTTCTTGTAGTCACATGTCTGTGCTTACATCCATCATTTATCTGACTACCTGCACCATCTTCTTTAATCTTAAACATCATAAAATACATTAATCTTTACCCACACAAGCCACCTCAACAAAAACATTACAAATTTGTGGAGATGAAGATGGGAAATGAAAGAGTATGCAGTAACTTCCACATTTTATATGATTCTGGTATGACTGAGTGTATTTACCTGCTGAGCATTTTTGCTAACACGTATCCATATAGAGACTCCCAAAATAACAGAACCACACACCTGCAGGAGAAAATAAAGAATAATTAGAAAGATCAGCAATTTTAGATCAACATTCAGCATCCAAATTGCACCAGATGCTGGCCAAAATTCTGAAATCATTTGTTTGGCAAAGTGAAAGAAACATGAATTGCTGGAGCATAGAATATTGATTCATATCCAGGAAACTTCATAAGGGTAGTTAAATCTTCAGTTATGCACCAAATCCCTGATGTTTCTACCTCAGAGGACTCTTCATTTCCTTGATGATTTATACATGTGGTTGGGAAGCACACAGAAATTCTGTCAGATGAGAGAGGAATATAAATTGCTATTGTATGTATATAACATGGCTCAAAAGAACATTGTTTCTTGTATAATGGAAACACATGAGATTTGATAAGGCATGTTTGTATAAACATTGTTTCTAGAATTATTCAGGACACATATCTAGAGACATTCTCTATGGTAAAACTATCAGGAAAAGTTCAAATAAAATCTTTCTACTGTTTCTATTGCAACAATATCTGTTCATCTCCAATCCTTAGAATATTCCTCCTGTAAAATGCCTATAGTTATTATTTCCATTACATTTTTTTCAGAAAACAACAATACTCGGTCATGTGAAAGTTAGACTGCGATGACTTGCCTTAAGATTTTGAAGTCAGAGCAGATGAATCTCAGGTCTAGACACATTCCCTAATCACTAGTTATGATCCTGTTTTGTTGAGCGTTGAGGTAATGTTCCACTGTTCACCAATCACTCTATTCCTAACCTTGTCCATGATGATTTTTGCACAGAATTTCTCTTTATTAAGTGTTGGAGATAGATAATTAAGAGGCTAATCAGGTGTAAGGATTGTGCCTACTGAGATGACTGGTAGGAAAGTGAGATCATTGAGGACCAGAGAGTAGTCACATTTAGAACTATCTTCCTGTATGCCATTAATACTCAAGTTGTAAATGGCCCTGAAATAATGTTATGAGCTTCCCATGAAGACTGGGATTATTCCTCACATTTTAAAATTACAAGAGCTATTTTTATATGTTTTAGATAATTTTTCTCTAAAAATACTTTCCCTGCAAAAAAGTTTCATATAATATTCAGCATCAAAGACTATAATGACTTTAGCAGATTATTTAATATGGAACAGAGCCAGCACTCAGACATGAGTACCACACATTTTCCTGCTCTAGGTAAAGGTCCTATAAGTACATTTTAAACATGAAAAGGAAAGTTGTACAATCGATGACAGGTATATCATGTTATCAAATTTAACTAGAACTCCCCACTGAAACCTTCTGAATCCCACTGAATCTGCTTAGAAACTGATGGTGTCATATGACTCTATATTTGGGTCTTGTTCAGCAGCACTATGTGAGCCATGTGGCTTTGCACCAGACATCATGGGCTTGCTAATGTGAAAATTTCCACTGAAGCAACTATTGCTACAATTCCAAACAGAATTTGGCCCACTGCTTTATTTATTACATAGGACCTCCCATAAAAATACAGCACAGTAGTAGAAGTAAATATAGCTGTATGTACAGGAATGTACCAATCAGATGGGAATGCTACAATGTTTATTTCCTCCATTCAAAAAATAAAATAAAAATTTTTAGTAGGTTGTATATATTTTAATTATAAAAATAGAGTTGGTTTAGGCTGATAAAAAAAATTGCTCCATTTTAGTAAAATCTTAATGTTGTGTTTCTTTTTATTTTCATAATATACAAAGTGTACAAGAACACACAAAGAAAAGTTTTGAAATAGCAAATCAAAATGGTCTGTTCCCAGAGTCCGAGTCAAATATTTCAAGTTTGCTGGAATATTCCATCCTAATTATTAAGTTTTCTTAAAATAAACTTTTGAGTAAAGAAATTATCATTTCAGGAAATTTCATTTTTAATGAACTAGTATTTTCCAATTGAATAAAACCAGCTTCTATGAAAAGGTTTTCTCAAAACTAGATGGCTATTGTAGTTTTGCCTCAACCCCTGACCAAGAATCAGTGACCCTGTCATGGTCTCATAAACTGACCAAGACTAGGACTGTTGTCCTTCAAATTCAATAGGTCTTTCTCTTCTTAAGCCCTTTAGTCTCGGTGTGATGAAGAAATACAGCCTAGTTAAATGAATATCACCTCAGATGAGCCTGCTGTGACTCTGGACCAGTAATATATCAAGACTCTGCACTTCTCAGATGTGGGAATTCTCTCCACTAGCACACACTTTTTAAGCAACCAGTTTAAAGGTATCAGGGGGTGTTTTCTATGAGATTGGTCCTCTTAAGGAAAACATTGGACTGGAACACTTCTTTGAGATACCTGAAATCAGAAGTGCTAAGATGGTCCTACAGAGAATGCAGTCTACAGCTCAGCATACCTGCTAAGTTTGTGCTGCTACTTCCAGGGATCGAGATGTTCAGAGGTAAGGTATGGGGATGTAGATGGGACTGCAAGTCTGGCATCAACAACTGATCAAAGATTGCTCTGTCACTAATCGCATTGCCTCAAGCTAGGATCAGACATCAATATTTAGTGCAAAATATTGGTAATTCTACAATTTTGCATGATATAGAGAAGCAGAAGCTGACAGAATGAAGGCAGCAGGTGAGACTGGATATCCTGCAACCTCTGAAGAAGTGAAAGAGGTAAAATCTGACCTACATGTCAGGTTTAATGCACAAAACTGAGTTAATCCTTAATTTAAGGACTATTAAAAGCCCCATATAGGCACCTAGCTCCAAAGCACAAGCCTTCAAAAGCCCATGCTCAGCTTTCTTTCACCAAACTGGGAGGATGCAAAACTCTATGGACATGCTGGAGCCCAGCATGGGGGTCATGGGGTTATTAATTCCAAGGGGGCACATGTCATGTAGTGAAGCCAGAGCCACTTTGCAGGGCTATCTTAGACTATTCCAGGGCTTACCTGCCTAGTTCTACGCTGTTAAAGCTGCTTAGAAAAAGGCATCAGAAAGCTGGAAAGCCCATTCCCAAGTCCTCTAAGAGGGGGCTCTCTACCCAGAGAGATTACAAAGGGCTTAAAATGAAAGGACACCAAGTAAATATGCAGCCGTTGCTCTTATCTAGTTAAGGTTGAAGTCACCTTCATTTCCCACTATCAGTTTGATTTTCCACTTGCCAACTGCCTTGTGCACAAGGGGCATCTGTGGGACCAGTGGCTGTAAAGACATCACTGTTCCCTGTACTTTACAATGGCAACTTAATGATTTCCAGAAATTAGACAGGAATGTGAATCAAAGTATTCAGCTTCATTGTACTCCATCAGCCCATATTCCTGTTTGCACCACGTATGGTCTTCCCTGTCCTGGTAGTGCTAAACCTTTCTTTAAAATAATTAACTATAGCTGCATTCCTGTCCTCTGTCCCATCCAGAGAGTCACATGCACAGGAAATGCTCTCAGCATATTCTTCCCCAGAATAGAGTATGGATTTTCCTAACTTTGACATAAAGAGATGTTTGGGAAGTTTGTTCCATGCCTGCTTGTTTCCTGAGCTTTCAAGACTCCTCCAGGATCTCATCCTGTGTTTTCTTCTAGGAAATCTATGCTGTCACTGGAGGATTAAGCATGGGGCATTATTCACATGTCCGTTCCAGTAGTTTGGAGCTTTTCTAGTGCTAGCCTGAGACATTTGCCTATGTTTTAGCTTACAGTAAATACAGATGAATGTGAATAGGAAAAACTTCATGAGGGTCAGGAACTCCAAGGCAGAAACTTATGGATTCTTTAAAGTATCAGTGCAGAAAAACTTCAACACAGATGTCAAATATCTTCAATTTGCCTTGATGAAAGTGAAGGAAGAAGAGCGGGGAGGCAGTTCAAACTATCACTGGCCTGCTAGGAATTTCTTTACAAGGCCCAGAAGCTATCAAAGAATTTTGTTAATTCTTCTCAATTTGGCTAGCCACAAATTTTCCAAGGCTACTGTTTGTGGTCCCTTTTGAATGGTATCACCTTTTCACTTGAAAAAAATTCCCCTGAGGGAAAGCCCGTAATGTGGCTAGTAGTTCTGCTTCTGGTTTCAGTGAACCTCTGGTGAACCTGACAAATCCTTGTCGGGAAAGTTGACAGTGAAGTTGAACCATGAGAGAAATGTTCTTTAACTCAAACCTTTGCAGAGCTTTCAGGACCTGAAACTCTTGCAAACCAGTTGAGATGTGATAAATAGACAAAGAAGGTTCAAACGACACCCAGAAATCTATCTGGTGCCCTGTGCTGTATCTGCCATGATACAGCTATTGTCAGTACTGCCAGCTCATACCATTTTACAAACATTTACTGTTCACCATCAGAAACTAATTATGACACTGAATGTAAAGCAAAGAACCACAAAGAAGGATATGAAAACAGTTTATCAATTAGGAGGCTAAAAATACAAGTGAATTTTCTGTATCTTCTGTTGCAACTACATTTTCAGGATCATGCCGTTCGGATGCAAGCAGCAGACAATAAAAACAAGAGAATGATGTATTGTAAGTGGAGAGTCTGTTATCTTCTGACTGAAATGAGTGATGTCCCTTGACATGAGAAGCGTGATACGGGCAGGGAGACAGATTCATGGCTAGTCTACTTTTGAATGTGGAGGCAAAGCTATTTTGAAGAAAAAAGACAAAGGGAAGGGCAAAAGTTAAACATGTTCTCCCCTCCCTGATTTAGAATCGTACTCTGGTTCCACTTATGCTCTATTTTCTTTGCCATTCCTTCAACTACAGCGTTCAGATAATGTTGAATACTTTTCATGCATCACTAATAACTATATAAACACCAACTTACCCAAAATAAGAAGTTGAAGATGAACATGGAGTACTTCATGCAGCCACTTACACCCGCCATTTTCAACAAGCTGAGACAAAAGCGAACACTGCAAAAGAAGCTTTCTTAAGAGTTTGACCTTGATAAAGAAGTTGCTCCTGCGTCTTCAGAAAACCTCTCAAGCCACGTCAAATACACCGTCCTCTGCTACTGAAAGTAAAAATTGTGACCGAGGCATCGACAATTATTTAAATAGTATCTATATCACAGGTAAATATTAACCAGAGCATTGGGGAAGCACTACCAGGTGTTATCACTGAGTCTCCAGACTGCTATTGCGTCTTTGTGATTTGTACTTTTCTACAGTCCTGTTAGTCTTGTCCTACGCCTCCAAAGTAAATAGATAATGCAGCAAAAGTCATAGTTTCAAGAGAAAGGGAAGTAAGCATAAAAGCATTTTACAGACCTACTTTTAAGAGGTGGAAATGACTGCATTTCTTAATGCTTTTAAGTTGCAGGGTTTACTCATTCATTGTCCACTGATCATTGCCAACATTCATTGAGTTGTGTTCACCCTCCCACTCCAGACGTTCAACTGGCATAAAGGGATGGGTCTGTGTTACTCAGCAGAGGAGGTGTAAGGAATATGCCGCCATTTTTTTCCTCTTGGTGTCTACTACAGATCTTTTTCCTCTTCCTCACCAAATCAGGACTCCAGGAACCTGAGCACTGTGGTGCACAAAACATCCTGCTGTGCAGGTTTCCAAAAGTGTTGTGAACGCCAGCACAGCAGTCACGGCTCTGGTGTCAGATGCAGGATAACTCTCAGCAGCAGGAGCTAGATTTGTCCCAGAAGACAAGGCAATAAACCTGTTTCATTAGTTTTGTTTTATGCCTTGTTTGTTTTCTTTTGTGCTCCTCAAGCAAAGAATCCTGTGAGGGAAATAAAGGTATCATTGCTCTGGTTTTTCTATCAGCCCATTTTCTGAAGAAGTCCCGTGTAGCAGTCCTCGGAGGGATGAGGGTCAGACACAGGTTCCCCTGAGTTTTTCATAAAAAAGAAGCTTTATTTTTCAGGCGAACACAAAGTATTTAAATGTAAGAGATTAAAGACATGCTGGACTGAATTGATTTATGAAGCCCTCTTAGCCCAAGCCTATTTTACAGTCTTCACTGTCAGTTCCCATTCTTCAATTATGATGTCTGTATTTGAGAAAAAAATGGGAAGTGTTAGTATATAACACACCTGTAGATGGTGACAAAAAGATGTAACTTGGACCCTGGCTTTTGTAGGATCCACAAAACAAAAATCTATTCTACATTGAAAACCATTTCCTCTACTGCCCCCTAAACCAGCTTTTAATGAAGGCATGGTGTTGTGATCTTTCCATTCACTTTCACTTATTAGATTTAAAAAGTCCCAACCATTCCCATTTTTATGAGTGGTTCTATACCTGCCTTTGACTTTTTGGGCTCCTTTTTCAAGTAATGATTTTTCCTAACTCTAGGAGATTTTCTGTCTGACTAGCTAATTTCGCAATATCCACTCTGAATCTGAGAATGTTCCTAAAAATAATTGTGCTCATGAAATACAGATTTTGTAAGGATTGGGAGAAACAACTGTGTGGTATGGTTTAGATCTAAAGCACTCAACAAATAAGTAAATTGAGAAATGTGGGTGTCTTTATGGAGGGATGCCATAGCCACAGATGAACCATGAGAAGAGTTTAAAGGGCCATATAAAACTGTATGAAAAGGGCCATGAAGGGTAATAAGAGAATCACAGATGACACAGGATTTAAAGAGGTAAGTCTGAAATCAGACCATGCAATTGCAGTAAACTAAGCAGAGCTTGGAAACAGCATTTTGTACCAAAACCTACACAGCTATAATGAGCAAATACTCATTAAAGAAGGGTTGAGCTGTAGCACTGTTGTCTGTGAAATGCTTAGTCTAGTCATTCAGTCAGAGATGTCTAAAGGAAACTGTGCTAGGGCAATAATAATATAGGAAACAAGTGTGAGCACTGACTCACTGGCCCTTGGAAAATGGCTGGTGTGCAAAAACCTTTTCATGCGCAAGAGGCACACTCCCTTTTTTCCCCCCCTGCTTTCCATCACAGCACTCTTCGATTTTGGGCAGGTAGAGGTCTGTGCCAGCAATGCCCTGGAGTGACTTCCGGAGTGGTATATGGTCCTGGGCTGCTGGAAGACCCCAGGCCTGTCCAGGGGCAGAGAGCTCCACAGCATCTCTGGACCCTTCCCCAGCCTCCATCCTCAGGACGTGTAAGACCGGCACAGCTGAGTTTCTCATTCAGTCTAGGAAATTTAAACAGCTGAAGATAGATATGATTTAGATCTGAAACCTGGTTTCATTACAGTTTGATACTTATGGCTGTGGATATAGAAGAAATTTACCAGAACTTCTGGGTTTTTTGTTTGTTTGGTTGGTTGTTTTTTGTTTGTTTTGTTTTGTTTTGCTTTTTTTTAAATATGCTTATTGAACATTAACCACAAGCAAGTTCTGGTAAGATCTCAGTTCTTCCTAAACCCTGAAGAACTTATCTGCATTTATATGTTTACTGAACTTTTTGGAAAAAGCAAAAATAGACTTTCCTAGGACCTGATAGATGATACTTTTCTAAGATGGCAAATAGAAAATTATGTCAAAGTTAAATACATTTCCTAGTGAATTTCCAATGTACTAAATTTATCTGCTGAATAGAAACTCAGTACCTGAATTTACTACAATTCCAACATGTTTCATATCTATATTTAATGGTATCCAAAGTAAAAATATGTCATTTAAGATTAAAAGCAAACAAGCAGTTTCCATTAAGTGACAGATTTTCAGGTTAAATTCACTGTATGATTTGATGATTTATTATTTCCTGGCTACACAGTGCTTTTTTATATGTCTTGGAGAAGGAGAAAGCCATACTTACGGCACAGATTACATTTGCAGTTGTACCTACAAGTATGAAGGTCATGCAGATAATTACAGAGGCTTATGAATGACAGTGATGGCATGAGAAATTTTGCCGCTATTTGGCTGCATGTGAAATTGCTCCCATTACCCCTCCACTAACTAGATGATCAGCTATGCCCTGACAGTAACAAAGCCTGTGCCATAAGCTGCGCAAAAACTTCTCCCAATAAGGAAGTTGTAAAACCCCATTTACTTATTGCACTTCCTTACAGATTAGAAGAGGAGGATTATCAGTACACAGCCTGGGTGCAGCGCAGGGTGGGAGCCTCTGACGCGGCACACAGTTCCCCACCGCAACAAGGGAGCTGTGATGGCATGCTGACTTCACCCGCTGTGTCACCCAAGAAAATGGAGAGGGAGAGGCATATTTTGGCCAAAAAAAGTGTCAGTGCACATGTACGTGAACCTACAGTAAAGCATCTCCCCTTTGACACTTCCCAAGCAGCTACAGTTGGTTTTATGATGCTTTTATCTTCCTTCTCCTCCAAGCCTTTTCTCACTTTGAGTCTTTTTTTACAACCTCCATTTCCCTTTGTGAGGTGCGTCTCCATGGTCAGGCTGTGACCAAAGTCCCACATCAGATGATTCACTGTATAGCCAGGCATATGTTCAGTCCTGGACTTGAAAAACCGGTTCGACCTGGGTAGTAGCAAGTCTTTTGAACAGTGGGATGTGGATAGTGGATAATAAGTTTGTCAGTGGAATTTCTTCTTAGTGTGGTGATAAATGCATGACAGAGAAGACAGGTGAGAACTATATTCAGCGTGGTGCTTGCAACCTCAGAGAGTTCAGTAGATCTCTGGATCTGCTGAACCAGTAGGGCCAACCTAGATATGTTGTGCAGAGACAGATTTCAGACTGGCACAGCATTTGTCCTTCAGCCAAAAGGATACTTCACCTCTTGCAACCTCACCTGTTGCCCTGAGGTCTCTACTAAATAAAAGTTTCTGCATTTACCAATGAAACTCTTGCTTAAACAGTAGTGGAAAGCACAAGAACTTTTTGATGTTTTCACAATAAGTTGCTCACCCATGATGCCAGGTGAAACAAATGCTGTGTGCCATCAGCCTTGACAGCATTTTGGCGCTCATATAAATGGGGAATACTCCCTAAAGAAAGCATGGTTTTAGTCCAAACAGTAGGACAAATGCCTTCAACCAGGCAGCACCTGGTTTTGTCCTTGAAGATACTTTCAAGACTGGGTCTGACAGACATTGCAGTTAGTCTACTATACCTCATGTCTTGGGTTCAACCTTAGCAAGTAGATCTTACTGCAATATCTAATAATAGCTAGTAACACTTCAACTGTAAAACTGAAGTATACTCCCATGTCTGACTCTTAGCAAAATACTAGTGTCCTAACTGATCTTATTTATGGAGAATTATTTTGCATTGGAATATATGTGGCACTGACATGGCTGCTGAGTTTACACTCAGCTCCCAGAGTCAAACAGTTACAAGATTCCTTGCTCTCATTTTAACATATCCTTTAATCTAAGCCTTGAGACAAAGGGTAAGAGTGGAATACATGACAAAAATATACCTGAAAACTCCACAGGCTGAATAAAAAATAGAAGAAAGAATATAGCAGTGTTGCATTTAATCACATGAATCTTACACCATATTCATGATTTTGGGTAGCTGACTTGCCAACAAAGTGGATAAACTTTCTGCAAACTTCTATGCCTCACATGGCTTGGATAGCTATGACTGAGCCCAAGGCTGATCCTGCAGTTGACCATGTGAAAAGGAATGAGAGTATTTTCAAGCAGGGTTAGGCAGGTATATGTCTGGCTGATTCAGCTGTCTGGGGTGCTTTCACAGCTTCTGCAGAGGAATGGGGACTGCTAGGGAGTGACTTCGTTTATCCTAAAACAGGCATGAAAACAGGCCAGGTGAACTGTGCCCTCAAGCTGCCTGTTTCTTTTCCCTGACCAAAAAAGTGAGCCCAGGAAACTGAAGCCATATGAGATGGATCGCACTCAAGAGCCTCCGCAGCGTCTCTGTTTCACAGCAGACCCTTGCTTCTCTTACAGTTCTCTAAAGGAAAAACATGTTTCTTTCCCTTTTAGGACTTTTTTACTCTGTTAGAGTGATGTAAAAAGTGAAAAGA